GCAATGTCCATATGAAGATGATGAACACTTAGACTATTAAAGAATTCCTATCCTACACCCTAGAACTGTATTTATCCAAGGAGTTGTACAAACATAATCACTAAGATACTGAATACAAACAAACTTTTTAACTACGTTTTTGAAATATTCCTATTCTAAAATATATTTTGCTATTTAGGCCAGATTTTGAAGCATAAAAAGCTAAAACCTGCTCTGATTAAAATAAGACAAAACCTAAATTTCTAAATTTCTGCAAAGCAGTTATAGCTTACCTGTAAGACTCCAACAGATCAATAACCTCCGTCTGCCCAAAGCGCTTAGCCCAGTCCAAAGCTGTCCTGAAAAAGGGGCATAAAAATCTTTATTAATTTATCATTTCAAAAAATACAGATGCAGACGAGGGTGAGGGAGCAGCTGACACCACTTTTCTGTCAACTTCTGCACCACTGTTTAATCAGCGCTGTAATTGCTGGATCTGCAACTTCCCGTTTTAAAGTGCGTAATACATAGCTATAACAGCTGTACGACTTTTAGATAACTGCAATTATTTTTGAAGAAAGCATCCCAGTATTACACAGAAGCGTAGGCAAACATGCAGGAGGAAATGAGGAGGAAGAATGTGACATTCCTTCAAAAACTACATCCACACTGATGTAGAGATGCAAGCCATGCATTTTTACAGTATCCTTCAGGAGCTACTTTAAATCATCCCAAGAAGTCATGTCCCTGACATTTTTCTCCAAAATGTGTGAAAATAGCGAGCTTTTTGAAGTCTTATGGAAATTGCCCTCCTCACAATGCAGTTCAATCTCCTTTCCTTTTAAACTGTACTTCTCCCCAAGTTTTTCAAGTGGTTGTACTAAAAGTCAGATCCCTGGAATCCCAATTCCTATTTTTCCATATTACAACTATCTACCATAGTTCCCCCTTTACATGAAGACAAATGCATGGCCAAAAAAAATCTGAATTTTTACAGATTCACAAGTATTTTTACATGATACAGTATATTTACAAATATAACACAGCAAAAATCTTTGCACCTATAATACACCGTTTTTACATCCAGTACAGGTTACACTCTTAAAGTAAGAGTTGCCAAACATTCTGGGTCTAATTCAATCAACTTGATGAGAAAGATTCCAACTTTTCTTCAAGCCAGTATGTTAAATCAGATGCACTAAAACCAAGAGTCCCCACATTTGAGACAGAAAACTAATGTGACAAACAGAATTTAGAAATTTAGACTGCCAAGACCTTTACAGTAGTCTAGCAAGTTAGCAAATTAGTTTACACGTTATAGAATTTCTTCCTTTCTCATTTGTATATTGACAAATAAATCTATGTTTCAGTTTATCTGTTTGTTTTTACCAGCCATTGGATGATTTGCAGTGGATACTTGCTCCCATAGTAATCAGTTGTTCCACTTGACTCAGAAAGCCTCTCCCTGAAGCGATCATTAGCGCAGTCACACTGGTTTCACTGTGTCTATAATCAACTGAGGAGTACAAAAGATAATCAGCAAAATTAATGCACACACTATCTTTTTCATCTAAACGTAGTATAAATATCATTTTCAAAACCCAGCCCAAGAGAATTTGTTTCCTCAATTCATCCTACCCATCATTCATGTGAATTTAACACTATTTCAGAAGCATAACATCTGTCAATACTTCAAAAGACGTACAACAACAAATAACCACAAAACACATTAATTCTGGTGCCCCCATTCATTTTTTCAGTAGGCATCAGAATTCAAAGGTAACAACATCTCAAACTGGAAATACAGCAGCAAGAGAAAGTCAAGCCATTTTGTGCTTCTGTTTTTTCTTACATAATGTAAAACGTACCACTGATGTTTTCAGTTAAAATGAGATGGAACACCCGAGCAAAGGAATCAATATCTTTATGCAACTATGTCAGAAAGACAAGAATCCATTTCCTTTATTACCCATGGCTCAAGGCAATTCACATCTTTTTCAATCTGAAGAGAAAAAACAGTAGAGAGATAAATCTCTTCAAAGAGTTGTCTTTGTTCTCATGTATTAGACACGAAGAATCTGAATAGTCAGTTTTAAAGGTAACAACATGCCACATACAGCATTCAGATATCAGTTAAAGCATTTACCATAACAACACATGAAACAATGGCAGTCCAGTTATTTCACTTAAATACAAGTTACGTACAACCATCATAACTGAAAAAGCACACTGCAGATAGAGAAGTTCACGCAAACCAAAAAAATACATCACATTTTAATACACACTAATGTCCTTTGAGAAAGTCTACATGAGTAACACCTTTAGAAAACAGTTTTAAAATGGATAGTAATAGCGTAACACAGACTTAAACAGCACTTCCAACAAATGGGAAAGCTCACCAGTTGATCAAATGCTGTGTCACCACTCTCATCCAACAGATCATGCTCTTCAGTTGCCCTTGGGACAGATCTTCGTCTCCGAGATGCCAGTTTGGGATTACTTTCTTGAGCAGAACACCACTCAGTCAAAGCACTTTGCTGTTTTTCTTCTAGAATGCAAGAGGTATTTTCCAAAAAAGTTTTACAGTCAATTGCCCATTGTTTTCAGTTACAAGAAGTACCTATAATCAAGTCACAAAGTTCTACCTAATCAATCTCTTACTTAATCTAGAATGCTGTTTTCAAGTCCAGTATAAATTCCGTGACTAAGGGCACCCAAAATGCACCATTGCAAACACCTGCTATAAGAGCAAGGTAAAAAAAAACCAAAACAAAACACATTTTGGTGCTTAAACAACTAAGTCTCCAGTATTCCAAATCACTACTTTCAAATCATTACTTTCAGTTCTCATGAAAACTTCTCCAATAATACATCTACCTAATCAACTGAAAACTATATTAAGTTCAAGTGTGTTAATGCTTCTGGACTAGTACCTCCATGCCGGAAGAATACAGTAAAAAATGTTATTAAACCAAACTACTTCTGTACAAGATGGACAGAACCTTGCCCTCTTTTACGGACCTATCTCAATTTGCACCCAAAAGTCAGTACATGGTATCTTCTGCTTCTGTAGCTTTCACATGGGCAAAGCCCCCAGTTATATGCAATTTCACTCCATAATAACTGAGGTGAAACTTATTATTCATCAGCTGAAAGAAAAAATAATGCAACAGTTGAAAGAAAGTGAAAATACTCTTTTTAAGTTACACAATCGACTTGAATAATGTAAGTATTGAGAGCTTAAAGATACTCGCTGTCATCTAATCACGTCTTATTTCGTGTTCTCACTTGGGAATTTTAACCGAGAATCATCCTATTTAGTCGTTCAACCAATCATTCAAGCAGACTCACTGGCAACTCTAACAATTAAAAAGTTCACCTACCTCGCTGCTTCTCTTTTTGGTACTTTACCATCTCTTTGTTTGTATAGCCAGTGCTTCGTAAAATGTCCTCCAAAAACAGCTCTTTAACTTCAAAAGGTCTTCCTTGTACTGAAATATAAAGAATTCACAGAATTTTAAATATTCCCTAGCTTCAGTTATAATCCCGATTTTTAAAAAGCATTTCTGTAGACACAAAAAGTGAATTAAACATTATCAGGGCTTGAGTTAAGGAATTTTTACTTCCGATTTTTAAAAAGCATTTCTGTAGACACAAAAAGTGAATTAAACATTATCAGGGCTTGAGTTAAGGAATTTTTACTTTCCTTGAAAAGTCTTCTAAGAGTAGCTTCACTCAAGTTTATCTTCTTAAGATCATGGGGCCATAAAACAACATTTCAAAAGGGAAATGTCAGCTGGGTACCTTGTTTCTCGTTAAACTCTTCAGTGCTACTAAGGGTTATAGAAAGAGATGCTCATACGATTGACAGTTATTAACAGCGACTTGATCAAAATCAGAGAAAGAAAAAAGCCATTTTTGTTTAGGCTTACAGAAAAGAACTCACTGTGTAAAACTGCCACCTCGATTCCAAAGTAAGAGAGCAACTAACACAGCTTTAGTGCAAAATCCCACCAGTAGATTGTCCCTTTTGTATTAAACTACTTATTCCATGAGGATATGAAGAGGTGGACTTCTCAGAATTTTCTCAATCACTTTAGCTAAATTTAGCTTTCCTTACTGAATAATTTCTGATGAGACATTCCAATACTACTTCACTCTGAACTAGGTGCAAACAGTTAAGAAACAACAAAAATGAACAAAGACAAGCATTGCTGTAATTCCCAGTGTATTTATCACATTCCCTTACTCAGAACTGTTTGCTACTGTTTCGTAACACCTTGAAGTTCTAGGGGCACATATATCCATATTTAAGAGTTAATATATACACTCACTGTGTATCACTGGGCAACTTCCAAAATATCTGATAAAGAGATCTGCATCCAGAGCAGCACTAGAAATAATTAGTTTTAAATTCGCGTGGTTTTGCAACACGTCTCTCAGTTTTGTTAGTAAGAAGTCACTGAATCTATCCCGCTCATGTACTTCATCCTATAATGAAAGGAAAAAAAACCCAACAGATAAACACCACAGATCCAAGAGTATAAGTCTTCACAAATGTGAATTTAAATTTTATAAATATATCAGAGCAGACTGCACCGGTAATGCATAAGCGACATACACCTTAGTTTCAGAGGTTAAAGTGAACCTCTCAAACTTTTCTCATTCTTATATTCGAATTTCATTTTCAAGATAATGACGGAAGCTACAAGTCCTACAAATCTTGTATTAATAAATCCCTGTTTCACATTTTATGAATATTTAAATGATGATACCATATAATCATAAAAAAGTATTACCTAGATGTATTAAATCATGGAAAAGCTTATTATCAATTAAGGCACATGACTGATAAATCACATTTGCTGGTGTGTTCTTCTGTTTTGTCTTATGTTAGAACTCATGAAGCAGAGACCCAAATACCACATTTTAAGCTGAAGTCGAGAGTGCATAAATCGTTCTCAACACTTTTCTGTATTTGATAAACAGCAGGCATCTCAAATTATCCTTAATTTTTCTGTCTTCAGCAATGGAGAACCTCATCTTTCTGGTTCCCCTGACTTACCCATTCCTCTGTAGGAACATTCACATAATCATAAATGAACGCACTTAAATAATTTGCTGAAAACTAGACTACTCCTTATCTTCAAGACGTTTGGGCAAACAAATTGACTGCAAACCTGGTATTGCTAAGACAAGTGCATGACACAAGAAATTCTGAAACACATTGAATCATACCTACATAAGCTTCTACTTCCTGACAGAGGAAGTTCAGAAACATGTAAAGCTTTATCCTCCACAATTGCATCATGATTCTAAACTTATTGTCATGAACCTAAAATAAGATATTTTTACCCAAAAAAGTAGTACATGCTACCATAAAGACTAAGTCTTTAATGTTAATTCAGATTCTAACCAAACAAAACCATGTTAAATGCTTCACAAATTAAAAAAAGATATCTAGGATCTCACGTTGCAATTAACAAGGAATACATACTGCTCCACGTCACCTGAAATACAACACGATTCTTACCACAATAACATGCGTCACAGTTGACAGAGTGCTGTCTCCTGCCATTAGTGTGCGAAGTAACATGCCATTAGTGCAAAATGTTAACAACGTCTTTGGAGAAACCCTGTTGAACAGTTCATAAAGATACATCATGTTTTTGCACTATTTAAATGCTGACAGCTTTCCATTACTTCCTGAAAAACTAAAGGAAGGAACAGCTGCTCACCAGAGGTGGAATTACATTGCAGTTTTCTCACCAAAGAATTCAGGTACTCTCCTTGATTTTAAACTATGCCTATCCCCAGAGAGTTCCTAAGGAATCTTAGTGCTTCTGCTCCAAAACTTTAGACAACGGGCTAATTAAGTGAGATTCAAATTTTTCATATAAATAGGTAAGTGAAACAGAACTCTGAGAACCTCTTCAGGTTGTTTGATTTACTGGAAGATTGTGCAGACTGCTTTGAAAAACAGGTTCCAATTCCTGAGCGTATGTGTGGGTACAGCCTGTACTTGCCTACAGGTATGTGGTGGGTTGACCCTGGCTGGAGGCCAGGTCCCCCGACAGCTGCTCTGTCACTCCCCCTTCTCAGCTGGACCGGGGAAGAGAAAAATAAAATGAAAGGCCTGGGGTTAAGAACTGGGAGACCGCTTGGCAATTGCCATCATGGGCAAAACAGACTCAACTTTGGGAAATCAGTTCTGATTTATTGCCAGTGAGATCAGTGTATGACAAATCTTAAAACACCTTCCCCTGCTGGCCCTCACTTCTTCTTGGGTTAACTTCACTCCCAATTTCTCTAACTCTTCAACCCAAGCAGCACAGTGGGATGGGGAACGGGGGTTGTGGTCAGTTCATCCTATGTTGTCTCTGCAGCAACCTCCTCCTCAGGGGGAAGACTCCTCACACTCTTCGCATGCTCCAGCGAGGGGTCCCTCCAACAGGAGACACACTTCCTTAAAATTCTCCAGCCTGAGTCCTTCCTGTGGACTGCAGCTCTTCACAAACTGCTCCAGCGTGGGTCCCTTCCATGGGGTGCAATCCCTCAAGAACAGACTGCTCCAGTGTGGGTCATGCACCGGATCACAAGTCCTGTCCGCAAACCTGCTCCAGTGTGGGATCTTCTCTCCTGACAGGAATTGGCTC